CCCGTTTTTCTAGAAATGACTACTTTGAAGTTTTAAGTTAAGCAAGAGGTATGTCTCATCTTTACTGTCATGAACTTCAGTTTCCTCATCTGTGAAAAAGAGATATCTATCTCAGATAGATGTAAGGGTGACAGATTAGTGCCTGGGTTTTACCTCTTTATGAACTACCAGGTGTAGTCCCAGCCCCTAATACCTCTGCTGTCTACCCACCTATTTCTAAAGTTTTTGCCATTGTGTCTCTAATATGGCCCCTGCTTTCCCCTCTAACTTCATTTCTAATGCTTTCCTCTCATTTCTTCCTTTGCTATTCCTCATTTACGCTGTGCATGCTGCTGTCTCAAGGCCCTTGTACTTACTGGTCTCTCTTTGTACTTGAATGTTCTTCACCCAGAAGATGTCCTCCCCTGACTAAACTATCTGTAGTAGAACCTCCCACCATTCTCTAACACATCTTCCTGTTTTAATTTATACATAGCACTTTTCATTCTGACATTTATATTGTATTCTATACCTTTTTTGTTTACTTATTGCTATCTAACCAACAATAATGTAAGCTTCAGAGAGCAATAACTTGATCTATTTTTTTCACTACTGAATCTCTAGCTTTTTAGAATAGTACTTGGCATATAGTAGATACTTAATAAATATTGTTGAATGGTTAAATTTCTCTACTGATAGCTCTCCTATACAAAGAATAGGAGAAGAATACAAAAATAAGTGATAGGATAAAAACTCTGTGTTCTAGTGGCTTTTGTATTCTGTATTTTGTCTTTGCCATAAATAGGTTTTATTTATGACAGTTAATAATAATAGCCTAGTTATTAATGATATTTTCTGATAGCAGCATGATATTTTCTGTTGATGTATATATTTTTCCCTTGGCTCTCAGTGGTCTTCAATGAAAGACCCAGGTAAAATATAAAGAGTTAGCACTGCTTTAATATCATGAATCATTGTTATGATATTGTTTGTCATCTTCTCTACATCTCACTTCCCCCTCAGTTTTGTTGTCTTTGAGCTCACATTTGTTATTGGCTTTTTC